ATTATTAATTTGCCAGCGTGGGCGTAGCTGCGCAAGCGCAGGCCTTCTAATGGAACTGTGACATGACCTGTAGGTAGGTAAGTAAAGTGATACTTAATGCACAGTTATAGCAGTCTTAATATTAGTGGTTTTCGTGAAGTCAAACACTTTCAAATAGTTACATTGTAGTTATTTTAATTGAACAAATATTTTTCAATTTACGCTTCGCTGGCGGGGAAATAAAATTCCTAAAATGAACTAGTAAAGTAATATTTTAAAGAAAGTTAAATATCTAAAGTAAAAGTAAATAACTTAGTTCTTATTCACTACTTGTACCAACTTCCTAGAGTTTAAGTTAAGATGACATCAGTACTTATGGTAAGTTATTCCACTGAAGTCATCGAGTCATCGTGTACTTGGCACATCGTACATTGCTCTCGTACGCTACAGTGCGCAGTGGAGACAATCTAGTTGCGTCGTCCGTGTCGCCTACTCAGCGGAGTAAATCAAATGTATCGAGTGTCGATGTCAGGCGGGTGACAAGTAATATAGTGCAGACAAGAGCTCATTACAAAACATTAACACATTTTACTGGCTCACATTATCAACTAATCAATCCGTCGTTGTTTTTGCTCAATATTATTTATTAGATACCCATACCTGTGCACAATGTGATTCATATCGCCGTGGGTGCTTCCCACGTGCGCTCAGCATAATTATCACAATAAATACAATAAAAACACACGTTTTGGTCCGTAATGTAGGCAAGAGGGCATTATCTCTGCATATAGCACGTATCTCAGACCTCGCTGTGTCGACTTATTGAATTTTTTATTCCATTACTTACTGAATCGTAATTGTAGGGTTTGTTATGTTATTGAGCTAAGAAGTGTCGAGGTATAATTACTTACTATAACTAATCGTTATTATCTTCCTCTTAAAGCGTCTTATACGTACCTCCTTTGTTATTATTATACATATAAATGTCACTTACCAGGCGAGATAGTGGTCAAACGTCGGCCCATCAAATATAAAAAAGTGATTCACCGTATTAAAAACTATTCCAAGTGGTACCTTAATTACTTTCAAATCTTGCACTATGAAAGTGGCCCTGATATACAACATAGTTTCTGTAGGTAATCCTGATAATGATGAGGGGAAAATGAAAATCAAGCAGCTTCGTTAGTACTGTAGCTTAAACGTTATTTGAATGTTGATACAAATTATGTAAAACCTTGAAAGTACCAACAACTATACGTATTATCTAATATTGATCTCGAGCCCTGCATAAGCTTGGAAAGGATATCCTTTACTTAGCGATTTGGCGTCTGAGCGCATAATTGGAGGCATAATTTTATGAGCTATGTTATAAGCCCCGATAGCCAGCCCACGCGGCCTGTCGGTGGCCCATTACACTGCAAGTTACGGGCGTAACATCTAAGCAGTCTGTGCACCAGCTCTATCGTAATATTCTAATCTAATATCCTTACAATTATTTAAATATCATGAACCGATTCTAAATGCATTTTGACTGAGAAGGACATTCAGAATAGCCAGTTCGCATGCTATTAATCTCATAGGCGTACAAATCATGAACTCAAATGACAAGTCAGCTGCATGGAAAAAAATGCATGGCTAAACAAAACTATATAACTAACGCTACTTTTGGTATAAACAAAGTGGTCTACGGACTTTATGGTCTACACATTAATTTGTACAACATTTTAGCCGTATCTCAAATTAGGAAAGCAAGAATGCTGTTCACAACAACAATATTATAGAGCCGATTGTACACAAAAACACCGACTTTAACACTTTCATTCCAGACAGGACATAAAAACATCGTCTACCACATCACATACTATCACAATTTGAGGGCTTGAATTTAAAAATATATTTCATGTTTATTGCTTTTCTGTTAATTGAAGTTACAAAATACGTCGCGTATTTTGACTAAGGACCAAAGATTGTAAACTCTCTCCATGCGATCGATTCACTGATTCTATGTTTTGCCACGCCTACGAAATTAATAGGGGCAAATGCTGCTACGAACACTACGAACTTCGTACTACGAAATGCGGTCTACGAGCTACGCGTTACTAACTACGCGCTATGAGCTACGAACTACGAGCTACGTACTACCCGCTACGAGCTATGCACTACGCGATACGCACTGTGCGCTAAGAGCTATGCACAACGAACTACGCACTAAAAACTACGCGCTATGAGCTGCGAACGACGTTAGAAACTTGGTTCTACGTGAGATCTAATTATTTTTAACCGTGAAACACTGTTACTACTGTATTTCACGTGCGAAAGTCGATAAATAAGATTTTACATCTTTGTTTTCACATAACAACACTGAATGTTAAGTAAAATATATTTTATTATTTTTAATATGAACGTTACCCCACTCTAGAATTTTCTCCTGTGTCGTGGGAATGTATGAAGGTAATATAAATAATTTGACAAAGTTGCATAATCCTAACCATTTCCTTCTACTCTACTGGACTCCACTGGCTCCACTTAGTCTTGCTATAAGTACCAACTGCACTGGCAACTTAAAGTAAATTACTTCATTCATTCCATTAAAATAAACCTCAATGTATAAATAATGTAGCAGAGATTACAATTAGAGATGTTTACAATTAATCGCCGCCATTTTCAGATAATAATTAGGATCGGAATTGAGTCACGATTGCCTAATGAGAGCCAGGCTAGTCTTAATAGGTGAATGTGGAAAGTGACTCCTAATGGTACAAATAATAAACTATGTAACTTTTAGATATAAGAGATAGTGGCCAAACGTTAACACGCAAATAACTACTTCAATCCGGCTTTTTTCGAAGTCGGTTAATGAATATACCAAAACTTCTCCTAAGTGTACCAAACACTTTTGTGAAACCGCATCAAAATCGGTTCAGATTCACGTTAATAACTCACTAAAACATTTTTTGTGCATATTGTTTCATTTCCTAAAACTCTAAGTTATTTGTTCCAAATAAAGATTAGATTTTCTCATCTCCATCAATCAAATGAAAATCGATGATGTTATTTGTCCAATTTGCTATAGTTAGCAGGTAAGGATCTCCCACGCGGGCGGAGCCGCGTGCAAAACGCAATAAAAGGCATATTTTGATCACATTTCTACCAAAGTCGACATAACAACCTGTCATTATTTACATACTACTACGAGTTTGGAAGTATCTGCCGCTAAACAAGGCGCTGCTACACGCCTCGTGACTCCCCTGCTGGTACTGTTCTAGGAGACAGCATATTACATCAATCTTAATAAAAACATATTTATATCCAATGTAAAGCAAATCAACTGTACGTAATAGGTATGTTATGAAGTTATGTTTGTAAGTCTATCTTTGATCATCTACGGTCGAATTCCTTTACCAGTCTAAATCAATGACTCTGGATTAATCTTCATTTTAGACAATGAGTGTATCACAAATAGTATATGTAGCCTACACCTACATAGGAGAAGTGTATCAAATATAGAAGTCAGCCGCAAAATAAGATTTTACTTAGATTTTACGTTTTATGAAATTTTACACTAATAAATATGACTTGGCTAGATATTAAAATCCTAAAAGGTAAAGGTTATAGTCGTTAGTGGACCAAGAAATATAATCCCCAACGAAATATTCTGTTGATCCTACCGGACCTATCCGGACTAATACTATAGGATCCTAAAACATTTCTTTATATTAGAAAGTAAATATCAAAGACGTACTTTATACACAACAACAACTGCAGCAGCGCTGCAACACTAGTACAAGTAAAGAGTTGTACCAAGCAACAAGCGACCAGTATCTCGATAGCGTCAAGTTATGCAAATTGAGTGCAAATCCTTGGAGCCATTACGGCGCGTGCTCAAGGACCGCGATATTGCCATGTTCAGCTGTAATTGCACGTAGGCTCGTATAACCAGCCCAGAGCTTGTCAAGTGGGAGGTAGACATGGACACAAATATGCAGCATTGCAACGTTGTGCTAGTACACTAGTACACAGACCTCTGACATATTTTTCAAATATGTATTTTTAATCTTACACTTTGGAAAAGCTATAGCAAAGTTTTGACAGTTTTGGGGTAGTTTGATGTTCTGACTGCGTCTGTACAACAGAAGGTGATCCTAGTAAACTTTAAAATAATTGTAATTAAAACTCGTATTTAATATTTTAAGGCTGATGAGTAATAGGATGCTTTTGTTCGACAGTGAATGTCAGTCTACGAAGACAAAAATGTGCTTCGCTACCGCATCAATGTTTCCAGCTGGTGATGACGTTTGAAAAGATAAAATTGCTATAAGTCTGTACTAAACTGAAATTTATAAATCTGATTGAAGGAATGTGTTAATCCCTGGAACTCACTGCTTAAAAGGTTCACAGTTCTACGGGCCGGTAAAGCACATTTTTATTCCCGAAGGTGTAGGCAGAGGTGCACATTATACCACTACAATATAACAACCACTTTTCACTATTTATGTTATGAGTCCCATGTAATAATAGGAGGTGAGACTATTGCCATATACCGGGCACAATCAATTCCAGACTCCGTGCTACTACTGAGAATTTTTAAAAAAACTCATGCAGTAATACTTTGACCCCTTGCCCGGCAGTCGCACTTGCAACCACTCGGCCAACGAGGCAGCATTTTGGAAAGTTCGTCGAGAAAATTAGTAAATAGCAGCAGCTCTTTCGTTGCATTTTTGTTGTTGCAACAAATAAATTACTAGTAACATAAGTTGTATCATGTGATTGTCCGAAGATTTACCGGCAATTTAGGATATAACGCAAAACTGTTCCGAAACGTGGAAAGGTGGACCATTTTTGATAAGCTACCCGCGACACGCTGGCTGCGTGAAAAGACGAGTTAAATAATGATTGATTACTTAATTAATCAATTAATATACAAATTGTATCTCCTACAGATATACCAGCCTGCACACATCACATTAACGTTCTATTATTAAATTATAAATAACACAAATTATTGATATTTTCCAACTTACGTTTAAAAAAAGATTTGTCAGCACTCCTTAGTCCACACATTAGAATCCAACGCACCAGGCAGATCCCGTGAACATCACAATAATATTTGCACTCACTCACAGTCGGTTAATATTTGCATGTTACAATTATTCAATAAAATCATAAGGAAGCAACTAGACACAGAATTAACGTTACACGGCACTAACAATATCACACAGCCAGCTTGAATTTACTGACAACCTTATATTGTATGAATTTCTAAATTCAAATCTAGCGCGCGCGAATCATATTACGAGTCACAGACAACATGGAACGCACAGGGCAGGCAAAGGCATGCACTCGTACTGCCTACTGAGGCTGTATCGCTTGTGGGTCACCGCCCACCGCCCGCAATGAGATCATAAAGCTGTTTCGAATATCATTTACACTTAACTCGGTGCAACTAACACGTATTGACTCCCTCGCGGATTATTTACATAATTATGCTAGTACTTAACTTGCTCATAAATTCTTATTACTAAAGAGGAAATAAATTATTTCACGTTCTTACGTTTAAGGTACTTTACCTGTAGGGTACGGCCGCACATGATATTGGACAAGATAGAAATGACTTATAAGATTATCAAAAATTACAAACACATTAATTTATGAATTAGCTTCTGCCAGTGGCTCTGCCCCCATTGCTGGAATAAGAAATTAGTAAAAAGTAAAAAGAAATGAGTAAAAATAGCCTCAGTTATGCCAGTCCATGTTTTCTCAATATCCAATCATTATCTTTCATTTTTCTCCATTTTTACCGACTTCGAAAATAGGAGGAGGTACTATGTTCGGATAATTGTTTTTTTTTGTTTGTTTGTTCGCGCATTACTCCGCTATTTGTGAACCGATTTCCAAAATTCTTGTTTTGTTTGAAAAGGTATACTCCCGAGATGGTCCCATTTCCATGAGGTAGGATCTGATGATGGGATCCTAGGGAAACCGAGGAGATTTTTCGAAAATTCTAGGGGCGAGTAATGCGTCTATTATGTTTTTCAATTAGGATTTTTAAACACTACAATTTGATAAGGGTGGAGTCGACCTGATGATGGAGCCGACCGACAGTCGAGAGAACTCCTTTATATTAACTACCTTGTGTTTGGGCTTGATTAATTTGTATTGATGAGGACTTTACACCTAGATAGAGTTGGACTGTAATTAAAGGTCTGATGATGATATAAGTGTCATTTTTAAGGGAACTCTTCAACAATATACAGTAACTACCTTGTGTTTGGGCTTGTATAATTTGTATTGATTAGAACTTTGCACCTATGCTTTATTTGATTATAAGTGACAAAACGGATCTACGTAGCTGTACACTGAAAATGATAAAATAAAAACTGCGTTTAAAAAATCGACTTCAAAAAACCAATAACAAACATGAAGTCAAAACTAAAAAGAAAAAAATAACTATCATTAAGACTGATAGGTTACCCACCTACTGAGGTTAGTAATCGGTGCCACAAGTTTTTGGTACTAAGGGTAAGGCAACTTTACTTTAATTACAGAAACTAGTGTGAAGATATGCGTCGAATGGCTAAATATTTAACCGCGTCAAACAAACAACGCACAAACGCACTTGAAGGTTCCTCTTGTGTTGCAGGTGCACTAGACTATGGTAATCGCTTCAGTCGCAAGGCAACCCGTAAACTTTGTTGCTACAATAATGCTACCGATATTAATAATAATATTTCTCCAAATGAAACACGGCATGTGTTGTTAGTGAATATATAATGACACATATAACTTTGCAAGGGTATAATGTCGATAAAGAAAATATTTTGGAAACAATGGTTCGAAGGTATAAGGTATATTCATGAACTGAAACAAGTGTTACATAGTGCTATCTCTGAACTAAATATAAACCATAAAGCTAATTATTAACAGCGCCACCTCTGGAGAGCACAACGAACTAGTTAGGAGTTGTTGTCAGTCTCGCTGGCGACGTTAGTGGGCATGTAGTCGAACAACAGCGCCTTCTTGTCATAGCCACAGCGGAAGAGGTTCCACGCCAGGTCTTCAGGAGTATCGCCCGTCTGATCTGCACAGCTCTCTAGAACCTGGAACAGTACGATAGCTTTTAAAATTTTGATTGATTTCATTGATTGATTTTCTTTTAGAAGGAATATTATTCATTTATCTCAGGCATAATCCACAATACAATGCGGCATTTCAAATTCCACGCTTACTAGACCGTAATCATACCATGTATGCCTGATGATGATGGCATGATGCCTCACAGACGTACACCGTGAAACGATGCTTGCGTTTGCGTTGTTTTTCGTCGTGTGAGTGAAGAGTGGAGGCTTAATCTCTCCCCATCTCCCATCCTCTTCTAGTGTTGTGGGCCGATGGCTCGCCGTCATGTGACCGTCTGCTCATTTATCCCACTATTCCAAAAACATCTAGTTTACTGGAGTTAGAAAACACAAACGAACCTTGGTAGCGTTTTTAGCGTCAGGTCGTGCCGCCATTTTGCCGAGCACGGCGGCCTTCTGCAGCTTGCCGTCCTTGCTGATGAGCTTGCACTTGAGTAGCACGCAGTAGACGTGCTTGCGCAGCGCGGGCTCGTCCAGCAGCTCGCCGGCCAGCATGGCGTCCACGAGGCGCGGCTCCACGCGCGACGCCGCCACGCACGCGTCCGAGTGCGCGCGGAACATCGCCTTCTCCTCCTTACCCAGCATCTGCAAGTTACCAGCACTCTCAACATTGTCCCTCCACACTCCACACACACTCCACTAAGTCTGTTTGTCTGTAATAAATGTTGCTTTCCTCCACAATACTAATTTGAAGATTCAATTTTCAATTCTTCAACAGTTCCACTTAAAATAGACGTATAAAATTCCGGAACATATACTTACAGGTAGTAGCCCGCAGCTTACTAAAGTTATCATTATCAGCAGCCCGTGTTCGTCCTGCTGGACATAGGCCGCTCCAATAAAGTAATACAATTCATAATTTATCTTCAAAAGAATCTTCTGGAAATAAAAACCGTGATCCCGCCTGCTTTTCGCTAATAATCCCATGAAGTTCAGTTTCAGACATCATTTTTCATTGTTTAGAATTTTTGCTTATGTAGGTACTGAAAATTTCTAACTGATGAATGTTTAACTGACCCAATGGTTGAACCCACCGAGGCAGTGTGAATGAATTCAATTTTCTCAAATAGCCCTTGAAAGACCAGCAACGTACTTATATTTCCTATGATGTGGCGGGTGTCCATCTCGCTGCCTCAAAATCGTCCGAGAGCCAACAAAATCACCACATTTTAATTTTTTTAAGTAGGACTGCCTAATATGATTAAACAAGTAAATGTTCCAATTAAGTACTTACTATACAATTTTTGCATCCTGTTGTTGCCTGAAAACCAAAAGATTTAGAAATTAATTAAAGGCAGCGCTGAAATTAGGTACTGTTGTCAATCTAATTGGTCTCAATTTCATTAACTCAGTAAGGCAAAGAAAATCAATTAAGTACGACTTACTGTGATTTCAAATGAAAACTATGGGTTCAAAAATATTCAACTTAACATCGATAGGTGTGCCACTAAGTCTCAAATGCTTAATTAATTCCATTTGGAAATCAGAATTGATAACCGTGTAAACATGTGAAAACAATTTAGTATTAAATTGAATGTGAAGAAAGAGTTAAAGTTACCTGTTGCGAGATGGCGACGAGCGCGAGCAGCGCTAGCGCCTGGGAGCAAGTCATGTGAGGGTCGGGTCGGGCGGCACCCGGCGGCGGACACAGGCGCAGTGGCACATGCAGCAACACACCAACCAGCGGCACCCGCAGCTGCGCTCGCAGGACCACTCGCGCGCGACACCACGCGCGCCCTCATTTATGGACGCGCGCATCGCACGCGCCCGCTACCTCGGCACTCCACGCGATAACACGCGACACGCGGTCACACTTGATCGAGATATTTACTGAAAAAAATTACACCATTATTATTACAATAATTCTACTATTAAAAGTTTTGTTTACAAATCTATATTAAAATAGGAAGTCCACACTATTTGTGCTCCGTATAAAACATATACGTGACGATAAACTGCACATATAGTCGCCCTTCTAGAAGATAAAACCACAGTTACAAATGAGCAAGTAAGTTTAGATAAATATAGCACAATGTGGTTTTAATATATTTAGCTGCACTTTCAGCTATAGGCCTTCAATACCTACTTACCTAACTTTTCATCTAGCTACCGACTATGAAATCAGATATTTTAGGATACGTACCACAAACCCTATCCCTTAGAACTAAAGATGACCAACCCTATCTTCTATCACTTGTAATAGATAATTATCCTTGAAACTGAAATAGCTGAAAGAATAAAAACTTAGTATTATTCGCCATACAAAGTTCCCGAGGATAGCTTGGTACGGGGGCAATAATTATGAAAATAATGAAACAATACGACAGTTTGTTTAGTAAACAGGCGACGGACGCGGTATCACAACACTGCCCATCACTCGCCAAATATCCCGCCGCCATTGTTTCACAAATATATGCCGCTTCACATTCTGCTACAAACAGTTGCCGGACGCTGCGCGCTGTGGGAACTGCGACATGGCGCGCTCTCTGCTGTCGTCAGTCGGCTTCCTATCAATATCCATTATGTACGTACTACGTCCGTACCATTGTTTGTAACTTAACAATGTACCTGTGTTAAGTTGCAGAGAGAAGTTAGACACTGTAAGTCACATTTATTTGATGAAAGTTTTTACAATTTTCAACTAATACAAATTGTAATAGGTAGGTAGGTACTACTGCAGGCTTACCGGTACTATACTTACTTATACATCCAAAGATTTAAAATTCATCAAGAAGCAAATAAAACTGAAGCAGACGCAAGAATTTAGTTTCCAGTTTATAAAGCGATCCTCTTTCTCTTCATATTAGAACGTTTGCTGCAAATGAAATGAACCTTGGTGAGACCTCTCAAGCCCCCGCATGACTAAGGACTATGTGTTACTTATCTATTTGTGTTTATTGTGTATTTATGCAGACCGTATATATAAGGAACATTCTTCCGAGATAGAACAGAACGAGATAGAGCCTACATGAAATTATTTCAAGAACGATATCTAAGCGAATCCGGTAAACCTGGCCAACTTATTTCGTATACTCGTACTATGTACCTATACTCGGTGTAAGTTTATGTTGAACCGTCCATCTTTTACCATGATGATAAAACATTTCCTGTTTTCAATAGGAATGGTTGACAAATTAAAATAGGTTACCTGTCTTCACACCTCACTAGGCGCTCGGGTTTAATGGAGGGGATGCGGTGCATGCAGACGGTGGAAGGAGGGCGCGGGCGGCGCGCGGGACAGGCGCGCTGCAGCACGCACGGCGCCAGCCCCGCCACTATCATCACGCTCGCCACCAGCTGCACCAGCATGCCTAGCAAGCTGACACACACACACAGACATGCCTCATCAATACGCCTTACTAAGCTAACATAGTAATACATCCCTCTGTGTCAAATTAACCACGCTAGTATAGCATTTGCGCGCTTTTCCTCAGAGCTAACTATACTCATTGACGCCTTTTAGAGCGTAAAAGTTTAAACATGATCTCTTCTGCGACTCTAACGACTCCATTCGATTAGGTCTATAGTGCAATACTTCTAGGGACCCCTGTATAAGACAATTTGCGGACGGTGTGCTTGATTAATCCGCCACCGGTCTCCAGATAACTTTATGCTTAAGATAGAAGCTAATTTTAGCGGCCTGTGAACAAAGTGACAAATGGGAGAGCTCACTACCCTTGCGAAAAGCAAACCCATGCTATTTCTATTTACTACACATAGTAAGCTAACATGACAAGTACCCACACCTACCTACATACAGCTGCCTACAGGCACTCGTGTAATTTTATAAGCACTGTGAACTTTGAAGATGTTTCTTACAAGACGTTACTTACAAAATGGCGCGTGTGCGGCGTGTGTCATTGTATGACATGAAAAGGCCGTTATTTTTCAAACAGAATGTTTTCGAAATGCTTAAACTCATAGTAGTTGTTGATACTAATGGGGTTGGCCAGCCAGAACATGGCTCACATCGGGAACTGCACGGATGTTGAAATAATGGCGCACCGCAACATTTGGCGGCTTGGGTGCGATCAACTGACAGCTGCTTATTGGACAGATTTTCTTCTGTAGTGACCGCTACTGATTGGCCAGTATGTCGGTCAACAGCACGTCAACAGTAACAGTATGCACTACTATGTAATACATAGGTACTCTTTATATCCTGTATTTAAGATTTGTTTATGGGACCCATGAAACTTAATATTCTCACGTAAATTCTGCGGTTTTTATCCCTACCCTAAGCGCCTCAGACGAAGAGCTGTCGGTTCCGATTATAATACCAGGTAATAATACGCCTACGTATAATACGGCTGTACCAAGCACGGGTTCGGTCCTGTATGGAATACTGCTCTCATCTTTGGGACGGCTCGGCCAAATATCAGCTGGACGCGTTAAAGCACATTGAGAGGCGTGCCAAGAGGTTCATCGACGATGATGAGCTTGTGAAGGCTCGGCTTCAAAGCCTCGAACACAGGCGTAAGGTTGCAAGCCTTTCGGTTTTCTACCGGATACATTTCGGTGAGTGTGCGGGAGAATTGCACAACTTAATTCCCCCTAGTCCTTTCCATCATCGTCCCACAAGACAATCGGCGAAGCGTCACCGATTCATAGTAGATGTTCCGCCCACACGCACGAAGCGCTTCGCTTCAAGCTTCCTTGTGCGTACCGCTAAAGAGTGGAATTCTTTGCCAGATACTGTATTTCTGACTACCTCGTTGTCCGATTGACGATTGTTGATTTAACAAGTTCAATTTTCAATATAATTAGTCTGCCTCGTTGACCGAGTGGTCGCAATTGCGACTGCCGGGTAAGGGGTCTCGGGTTCGATTCCCGGGTCGAGCAAAGTATTACTCGGGTTTTTAAAAAATTCTCAGTAGTAGCACGGAGTTTGGAACTGTGTCCAGTATATGGCAATAGGCTTAGGCCCTATTACATGGGACTCATAACATAAATAGTGAAAAGTGGGTGTTATATTGTACAGTGGTATAATGTGTACCTCTGCCTACCCCTTCGAGGATAAAAGGCGTGATATTATGTTATGTTATACTGTATTTCCTGAAGGGTATAACCTGGGAGTCTTCAAGGCCCGAGTGAATAGGTTGCTTATGGGGCGACGTGCTCCATCGTAGGCCGCATCATCGCTTACCACCAGGCGAGATAGTGGTCAAACGTCACCCCATCAAATATAAAAAAATTAAATAATAATAATACATATCATACGAACTTGCATATCCACTCAGTCGAACATGCGAACATGCAAATTTACGTCGTCAATCCCATATAATTTGTTTAATCCCAACTAAGTGGCATTTGGCTACAGCTGCTGGTTACTAAGACGCTACAATCATAACCGAGATGAAACAGCCACTGGCCCCACTGGAGTCTCTCCAGTAGCACAGTACTGAACTCGATGTCGATGTTCATCTCCTCATATCCAACCGCCGTCAGACACGCAGTAGGTCTCGTTGCTCCATCTAGCAGGAGGGTGTACCTACCACAGGACGTTTTTCCAGTTTCCACTACACCACCTCGACATTCAACGGTTTTCCAACAATGTGATCAGTACACTACCAGTTCAGGCTGTGTAGAAACTTAGGTTTACTTCGTTATGAAACATTAACAAACTACTTACGTATTATGAAGTACGCCATGTCGTAAGTAAACCTATTTATCGGACAACTTTAGTATTATGTAACTTTTTTCAGTGGTAAAATGAAACAATCTCGTGTCATCACCAAGTATATTAGTTTAATTTATATTCCCTCATTTATACTTATTAAACTCGTTCATATTAGTTGCGTACTATCAGACTATCACACAGCGAGTACAGTCGGCTGCGGCACTCCAATGGCGAATGCTACACGCTCGATGTTTATCGTAATATTTGGATAGTAATCCCGGATCACGATATTTATAGTCTGTAGTATAGCGAAATAATAATAATTATTATATTATAATTAATTATTACTATGCAATGCTGCCAGTCTTTTGGACACCCTACCTCACAATAGCGATGAGGATAACATTTTTTGATGCCTTAAGATAGCATTTTTATTATTTATTTATTTAAAATTCTCTATAAATTACATTTTTAAATACTACTTACAAAATAAAAAAAAAATATTTAAAAATATAAAAAATATGACCCGACCAGTAGCGGAAGCATGGTCCAAGCTACCGGTGGTTAGGGCTTCATTTTATTTATTATTATTACTTTTTTTAAGGTGTAAATATTTTAGTTTTTAATTGGTTATATTTTAAGTTGTATATATTATTACTTGATGCATATTGCAATACATGTCGAGCGTGTATCATTCGCCAACGAGATGTAGGGTAGGTACTACTTCCATTACTCTTAGCTTACTATAAACCGTTCAATAGTATATAACTCAATATTGTGTGCACAACCAATCGATATTTGCACGTAAATAAACTATAAGGGCAGTTCAGTTGTCACACTTAAATTAGGATGATGCAGCAGGCAAGTATTAGCTTCTTTATAATTCCTTTACGTAAGAGATTATCTATGCATTTTGTACAACACAAAGAAACAAATATATTTATACGTAATCATTTATTATGCACAGTCCACTACTGCCATCTGTCGGCAGTTTGGCCGAGGTTACATTAATTCCAGCTTACGCACTAAACAGTAATGTAGACAATATTGAAACGATAACTGTATAGTATGCGTTGTGCGTTGCGTATGTTTAAACGTTTATAATAAATTATTTAATAAATATTATGTCTGATAGTCATCTTCGTCGTCACCAAGAAATGAATAAGATAAAGTTTTTCCACTTTTTGGTCAAAGAAGCTTAATCAATAGAGTAATTTAATAAATATATAATACAATCGAAATAAATGTTTTAAGGAACAATTCCAAATATGGTTATATTTCATCAACAGGCAAGTGCATCTTTCCATAAAGCCAAAGTGAGGTGCTTTGGTAAACTCTCACTTTAATAAGAATACATTTAAGCAAGTTGTAAATAAAATAAAATGTTCTAAAGTAAAAGCAAAAATAAAAACACGATTTTTAGAGATAACAAACTCCTAGAAAAAGAATATAAGCAAGTCTTTGGAATTCAGTCCATAGTCCATGGATAGGATATTTATGTCCATTATCTAGTTGTGAGATAAGTATTCGAGCACTGGTCATATAGGAATATTCTTATTATAATGCGAGCTGTCGTGGTTTTGCCACCAGAGGCTCTAGGGGAACTAAGGTGTTCTTTTCAATATAACATGTATTTAGTTATGCGATGTACATTTTTTCTATAGGGTACGGTCAAACTGTACCTGAACACTGGCCCACCTATCGAGCGTTACCCGGGGACTGTTAGTGTACAGCAGGGTCCGGCTAGAGCTGCGCGGCGCGGCGGCGGGTGCGCAGGCGCGCGCGCGCGTACAGGCGCAGCAGCACGGCGCCCAGCACCACGGCCACGCCCAGCGCGCCCCCCCCCGACACGCGGTGCCCGTACACCGCGCACGACAGCAGGATCGACACCGCCTGCACCACACACACACTTCATGCTCGGGTCGGGTAGCGGGATAAGTCCGCATACAAGCGGACAGATCACTTGATGGTAAGCAATCGGCTCCACGTGGAACACCAGAGGCGTTACAAGTGCGTTACCGGCCTTTTGAAGATTGGGAATTTAAGGATGCAGAGATTGGGGAGATTGAGGAGGGAGGGGAGTAATTAGATTTCCGGTAACGTCATACGACGAAACACAACACAAACGCTATTTCACGTCGATTTCCTGTGAGGTCGTGGTATCACTCCGGTTGAGCCGACCCAATTGTGCCGAAGTATGATACACACTATATATCTATACTCCGTCTGTTTAGGTAGTTAACTATTTGTAAACAAACCATAAAAAGAGTTCTTTATAGTTGACATTTCCATGATTCAAAATACTTCATAAGAAAATAAAATTGTTTCCCTTTTTACGACAGTTTTCTCTATTAAATGTTATGTTTCTGTTCCTTTTCACTTATTTCTTAATAAATATTAAATATATCTGCTTGAGGATATTCATTTAATAACATTTATTAAATAATATAATATTTCATTACAATAGACACCATAAAGAGCCTAAAATCCCAGGTATCCAAAACGTTTCTTTAAGAACGAAGCAAAATAATATTGTCAAAAAACATTACCCTCCTTCTTTGGCAGTCGGGTAATTAAAGAGTACAACGAAGATGTAGCGCGACAATGAAAGTAGCGTGTATTACGTTTAGTCGGTTAATCAGGCGCCATTGACAGCTCTCTCGTCGTTTGCGCTCGCGTTCCTATTTTGTTGAATTTAACTTGTTTCTTTGTTTTGTTTTTGTTATTAAGTTATTTAAGTTTAGGTTATTCATCGTTTGTAATTAATGTGTTCAAATATATTGAAGAAACTTGGCCCAAAGACAGATATCCGTACAAGAAAGAAATCCGTACATCAGATTCAGAATAGTTTCTATTTAAACATGATAATGAAATAGACCCATAGGCTAGGCTCTTGTACGATTTAGGCATTTGTACTTGTATGTGTGTGTATGACAAATGAACGATTTTAAAGTGAATTTAGTTAACTCGTCGAGTACCGGTTTTATAGACACAATTAAAGAACAATAGGTCGCGGTCACCGGTGACCGCTTGGTGTTTGACAGATTAAAATTAAAACACGAGAAATATTTGAAGTAATAGTAGGTTAAGTATCTCTGTGTCACGTGGTTTTCTTTGTTTACCTTTAGTTAATTACCTAAACAGATGGACTATAGATAGAATATCTAGATATTAAGAACGAGGTGACAAAACTTCGTTTCGGTGACAAACGTGTACAATTGCTCATGATGGTAAGCGTCAAGTATGGCTTGAAACTAATCGAATTATCTTGTCAAACAATATCGTAAGTTGTGAAATAGAATAAGTATAGTATTATTACCTATATAAAGAATTCGGGAATAATCACAGAATAAAATTGCAAGTCTCACCTGTCTCAGCGTCATAATAATAGTGAAGACGACGGCCCCGAAGCGCGCTATAGTATGGTATATGAGCAGCTGGCCGATGGCGGAGCTGAGCGACAGCACGATGCAGTCGGCCGCGAACATGGGGTGGCGCAGCAGCGGCAGCGGCGGCGCGTGGTGCGCATGCGCGGCGGCCGTGAGCGCGCACGAGAACGCGTTGACGGCGCACAGCATGTGCAGCGCGCCGCACTGGTAGCGCCGGAACACGGCGCCCTGCCACGACGACGTGAAGCTGTCGCACGCCATGTACACGCCCAGCAGCGCCGCGCCGCCCCACGTCATCGCGCTCGGCACTGCGCACATACACGTACAGACATTATACCACATTAACAATTCACTACATTTTGTTTGTCATCTGTAACCGACCAAAGGAGAACTCCTTCACGTGATATCAAGAGTCCTCTCACAATCTTAACAAACGTCTTTTTTTTGTGTTGTGACTAAAAACAAACAAATCTGTAGCAAATTTTACAATGATAATACTTAATGAAAACTACCGTCTTTTGGTCACCAGACGGGACTAGTGAAATCTTTCGTATATTCGTCTAATAGAGAACGTAAAGTTAATGTCACACCATTGAACGTTCATTTTTGACAGCTACTGAGCAAACAGACCTTGCAAAATGCCACCTAGTAAACAAAAAACGGTAGCCCTCATTGTAACGTGTTCTTTACAAAATATTTATGCACGTGAGATTTAACCTCTATCCTCCCTTTTCCCTCAATCACTCACCCATATTCTCGTCATGACTGCCGAACATGAACATGATCATGCCTATGGATATAAGCACCGCAGTCACATACTCGTACACCTCGTACTTGTTGCGTGACACTAACTTGCCCATCAACATCACCGGGATCACCTTGCAGGACTTCGATAGCACCTGCGATTTCATACATACCACATTTTTTACTAATTCAATACTTGTGTCACCTCTATCTTAACTACTTTTTACAAATTTTATAGAGTTACGTTTCAACTGCACTGATCGACACCAAAATTCAGTAGTTCTGGCGCCAATTTGCAATAAAACTACTTCTTAACTAAGAAAAATGTGACACAATAGTTGAGTATAAATTGATCTAATTTGATAACAACGCCATCTATGGGATGTTTCAAGTCAACTTTTTAGTTTTAGCAAATAATCGAACACAGATAAGTCAAGAGTAGTAAGATAGGTCACCTGTGTGGGGAAGCTGACGTACTTGAGTGCCTCGTACTGGCACCACGCGCTGACGACGTTGGTGAGCGAGCAGTACGAGAACTTGTACAGCGGCACCGGGGCCAGCGCCGCGCGAGTACACGCCAGTCGCGCGGCCGCCGCCACTAGCGCCGCCAGCCGGTTCACGAACACAAGGAACTGAGAGTCCGTGAACCGAGTCGTACTGCCGTCTGGCATCACGTATACCTGCAGGACACAAGGAACTGAGAGTCCGTGAACCGAGTCGTACTGCCGTCTGGCATCACGTATACCTGCAGGACACAAGGAACTGAGAGTCCGTGAACCGAGTCGTACTGCCGTCTGGCATCACGTATACCTGCAGGACACAAGGAACTGAGAGTCCGTGAACCGAGTCGTACTGCCGTCTGGCATCACGTATACCTGCAGGACACAAGGAACTGAGAGGCAGTGAACCGAGTCGTACTGCCGTCTGGCATCACGTATACCTGCGGGACACAAGGAACTGAGAGGCAGTGAACCGAGTCGTACTGCCGTCTGGCATCACGTATACCTGCGGGACACAAGGAACTGAGAGGCAGTGAACCGAGTCGTACTGCCGTCTGGCATCACGTATACCTGCGGGACACAAGGAACTGAGAGGCAGTGAACCGAGTCGTACTGCCGTCTGGCATCACGTATACCTGCAGGACACAAGGAACTGAGAGGCAGTGAACCGAGTCGTACTGCCGTCTGGCATCACGTATACCTGCGGGACACAAGGAACTGAGAGGCAGTGAACCGAGTCGTACTGCCGTCTGGCATCACGTATACCTGCGGGACACAAGGAACTGAGAGGCAGTGAACCGAGTCGTACTGCCGTCTGGCATCACGTATACCTGCGGGACACAAGGAACTGAGAGGCAGTGAACCGAGTCGTACTGCCGTCTGGCATCACGTATACCTGCAGGACACAAGGAACTGAGAGTCCGTGAACCGAGTCGTACTGCCGTCTGGCATCACGTATACCTGCAGGACACAAGGAACTGAGAGGCAGTGAATGAGTCGTACTGCCATCTGGCATCACGTACATTATTTTCGATATTGTAGGTACACGTCGCCCTTAAAATGAGTGATGTAAGAAATCATTCTAAAGAATTTTTAACCCAGGGCATAGACCTGTACAGACCGTTACCGGCTTTGTGGAAAATTAAAAGCAAAGAATACTCTGACGGGAACAAACATTTGGTAAATTATTATAGGTTTTTTTTTAAATTTTGGAGATCACTAAAAAACGTGTTCGTTACCCAGGCCAGATGTTGTCGAAAATGGTCATTTGAATCTTATAGATAATTAGTTGTGCGGCTTCTGTAATTGTTGCGCACATTTTTTCAACATTTTTTGAACAAATACAAAATGACGCACAACATTTATTTACCTAGACCACTAATTTTATAGCTAGTAATTATTTAAATATTCCCATTAGAAAGAAAAAGGTCTGGCTGGGGTAACGTTACCCCAGCAGGAAATGTTTTTTTTGTGAAATAATTAAAAAACTATAAGCGCAACAAATTTAAAAATGTGCGCAACAATTACAGAAGCCGCACAACTATATCTATAAGATTCAAATGACCATTTTCGACAATCTGGCCATCTGGCCTGGGTAACATACTCCTAAAAAACAGTATGAAATTAAAACATGCGAGTCTGGAATAGCGCGAGGTGAAGACTTGCTCATAGGAGGCTGTCATTACTAGCAAGCACTTTATGCCTATTTTTACGTGCTCCTCTTACAGAAAAAGGCGTGATATTATGTTTATATTACACAATTACCTATGTAAAAGTAGTAGTAAGTAGATACAGTCGTGTCAGAGTAACTGCACAACAATACTCTGTATGCATGGTATATGTATCTAGGTTAAATCTCGCATAGTTACCACTAACCAGGTTATTGTACCCACATCACATCTTGTCCTGTTATGATATTTATCGATGCTCTTTTGTCACGTGTTCAACTTAACCGGAGTGACACCACGGCCTCACAGTAAACAGGCGTACTCTCAGAAATGTGCCCGACGTAACTATGAAAATTTCTTTGAAACTCAGCGTTATTTGTAATTTACAATAAACATTACACTGGGACAGCACATTACATTTGTACATGAGTGTTACCTGTGTCATGATCTTCTCCTGCAGCAGTCCCCAGACGAGGTATGAGGACATGAGGCCAATGAAGCAGAACGCGAGCTGCGCGCCCTCTCGTGTCGGACTTTCGTCCTTGCGCACCTTCGCGGTCTCAGGCAGCCGCTCGCCCGGCTCACCGAAACACGAGAACAGGACGCGCCACGTCCACCCTGAGTTGCCTATAACATGATGTTTCCTTATTATATTCACTTATGTATCAACTCTCGTGAGACATGTCAAATATGAGCCCCTAATGTGGCTTGAAACTATTCGAGTTATGGCTATGGATAACGGCAATAAAATTTGAGCAAATGTAAAATGTTGACAAATTGGTTGTCTCTCAATGGAATCAACATAACTAAAGAACTACATAGTATAAACGAATCATGTTACATGTAGTGTGTATAAAAATTATCTTTTTGTAGGTACGTAAGTTTCTATTTAACTCGATCTGTTTGTTATTCTTACATAATTATTATATTAAGTTGAATATTAGTAGTGACTAGCTAGGCATTGACAGTCATGTGTCGTCGTGCGGCGTGTGTCCAGTGTACTCGGCTCACGTTACCATGACTTCCTGTCCACATGCAACTAATTACTCGTCATTACTAAGCTAAAACAACGCTCCTACAAAATATTAGACACATGTCTTAGGATTAGAATAGAAAAGTTTTGTACATTATTATTTATTTATTTATTTATATAAAACCTTTAAAACCTTCTTAGACAATTGCTCAGTATACTACAAAAAGAAGCAATCAAGTCACCTACTAGACAACATAGCAGTGTACAATATATCATGCTACCTTCATACAAACCAAGCAAAAAGTTGAAAATTTGCAAAACATTCAGCAACATGATATTCAACATCTTTGTAACAGTAACCCATACTGTTGTGTGCCTATGAGTTGTGAAATAATATATAAATGATATTTATTGAGGTCGGTAATAATAATATATGTTGATACACTGAATTATAATCAAGAAAAAATTTAAAAAATGTAGGTAAAAAAATGTAGCGCAATTAATTAATGAGTTGGAACTGAATAATCAGGGCACTAATTGACCCTTATGAATATATACTCACTTATCTTATCAAAGTAGTTGATTTTTTCCAAATATTTATACATAATGAACATGGGCAGTAGCACGGTGGAGTAGCCTACCAGGTTCAGCAGCAGTTTGAAGAACCTGCAACAGTAGGGAGCCACACCATGTACCTTGCATCCATACTCTTGGCTCTAAGTCTTTTGTCTTTAAGGTTATTTTCTTTTCGGGTCTCTGTGACTGGATTTTGGTGTTACATTGTTCTTGCACAATCAAAACAACAAAACTGTGTAACTAGAAAATTGGATTGTAGAGCTGATCAAAAAGAGTAACCTATGGAGTTTCTTGCTTGTTCTTCTCCATAGGAATCTACACTTAGGAACAAGCAAATAGGTTCACTAAAATTTTTTTGTTGATGTTCAAAAGTGCCTCCCTAGTCCAATAATTGAAATAAATGATTTTGATCTCCATTTTTGACTTTGACTCCATTGTAACCTTCTTTGACTATGAGATTCGTGTTTGCTTCTTGCTAAACACCTTTATCTTGGAAAAGGGTAAACAATATGAATAAAGTATTAAATACAAAGGTATACAATTCAACCAGGTACAGTCTGTACAGTTATACAATACACAGTTGATACGAATTCATGCTTAACCATCTTATGACCTGAGCCATGTGCAAATTTGTGTTAAATATCAACAATTTTTAAGTTACAAATTTTTGTAATATCTCACCATGAATACTCAATGTCGCTGAGTGCAGCGGACTGTTCGTAGACATCGATGAGCAGATGGTACACGTGGGAGGTGAGCCACATCACCCCAACACAGACAAGCCCCATACACCTGTCACACATCACATACATATTACTTGAATATGTTAACTCATTTGTGTCAATGTGAACATGCAAAATGCTAATTATTAGGTAAAAGTATTGGGCATTATTCGTCACTATTTTTTAATACACACTTTATTCCACTTTTTAATAATTTTTTATCTGCAGAGCATAAGTTAATTATTGAAAATAACTTATATAATAAAAGGTGAATATGAATTAAAATGTGAGAGAACAAATATTGCTATAAAACGAAATGAAACGAATAACGGTAATAAAATAATAATTAAAATTTAATCACAACATTATCAATATTTATGCGAAATACCTAATGTTCACTCTCCAAGACTGCATCGAGGTGCTCGTAGGGATACACGAGATGTTAAAATCTCCAAAACTTACATTTATATTTTATATCTTTAAGCTAGGTACGAAATTGATAAACTTAAACATTTATCTTTTATTAATAATATGTATGTGAAAACTCACCATACCGCTAATCCCGACGACATGATAACTAAACACTTTTACCAAACAACCACAAAATATTTCTAACAAATACAAAAATACTGAATGATATGTTGCTAAATGCTTTTTATCGTTTATTACTATTTTAAAAATAATATTTTCATTGTTTCAACAATCTTCCGACACATCCTCACTCGACCCATATTTACGAAAACGTCAGCTTTGACTTTGACAACCACCGATAGCGATGAGTGATGAGATCTTATGACTTTGACATCTCTAAATGTTGCAAGTTAAATATTAAACCATATTCCCGATCAAAGAATTAAGTTGCTCTACATTTTAGTTGGCAATGCCCCAAAGATTAGATGCTCCGTGGGATCGGATATGATATAACTCATTTTAAAATTAACCGCTCTACTTCACAACTTTCTACTAAAAAGCTTGCAAAAATTAATTGCAAAAAGTAATATCAATAAAAGAGATAGGCGCCTGCGAGTTATGCTCGGTGTACATATATCTACTCTTTGCTATAAACTCTATGTAGGTGCAAAGTCAGAGTCAAAGAAAAATATAGAATGAAGTTGATAGTTTACTAACATCCATATTTTTGTTATAATATTTTAATTTATTTATCTATTATTACCAGTTTTTGTGTATTCAAGACTCGCATCCAACTGATATCATAATAATTTAATGTATAATAATAAAGCAAAACCTTATGGAACGGCCACAATACTGTCGCGGTAGCCATGTGGTCTGAGGCTGTAATGTTTGTGGTGGAATTCCTGGCAGCGTTGTGTGCAGTGGCAGTGTGCGGGCCATGCCTACTGGCGTGTGCGCGCCGCCTCATTCTAGGAGACGAACTGCTGCAGCGCGGCGCGGGCGGTGTGCGCGAGGCCACCGTGCTTGGCTGCGACGAGCCCGCTTGTCCCTATTACAAGAAGAATGTCAAGTATCTCATGGTGCCGGCCACCAGGAGGAGGACCTACGGCTCACCCACGCGGCAGTGTTCTTAATTTCTTGAAGGTTTATATTTTTGTTAGTCTAATACATTTCTGTTTTAAATATCTTTGGCAGTTTTAGTAAATAGTCTTTAAAATTAAGATAAGTTTTAAAATATTATTGTCTTAATCTTATAGATATTAATTAAGAGTATCGTATTTTAAGTTGTTGACAAACCAACCATAAAAGTGCAGCCGGCCGGCCGACACTCCGCCTGCCAAGCACGCCTGCAAAATTCTAGTAAACCCTCATAAAATCCTAACACACTTCCAAAAGTCAAAAACTTAAGATAGGTAATAATAATAATTACAGTTGTTACCATTGTTTTGTGTCCAATTATATGTCCACTTTCTTTCTATTCTTATTTAACTAAGGAGTTACGTAAATACATAATACAACTAACATGAAATGAATAAAAATATGACATGAATAATTGTGTAAAAAAATCTTACAAACGTACCTATTCTCGTAGTACCTACTACCTACGACGACTTGACTGAATATTACCCACAAATGAAAACAAAGTGTTGTTTGGGTGTTTTGCGCTTTTTATTAACATTTTGGTACAAGACGACAAGTACATAATGTTATTAGAATAGTAAGTTTAAAGAATGATAAATAATGACCAGAAGCGGGGTGTGAGAGTTATTCGGTCTGGTCGCGCGGATGCTGGCCGAGATTCTCGTTGTCAAGCGTTATATCCGGGTCGCGCTTGTACTTGGGCAGCCAGCACTGCTGGTAGTAGCAGGCGGCGGCGCGCGCGCACGCCACGCACTCCGCAGAGAACATCGCCAGCGCAGCGCGGGACAAGGCGCCGCACGAACACGCGCACAACCCGCGCTTGCTCTGCAACAACACCACACGTACATACACAACACACCTGATACGTTGTGCACAATAACGCAAAATCATACGCAGTGCGTCCACACATCAGGTTCAGGATAGGTCACACAACTTTGTGCGGCGCTTGCTACTTTCATGTTGCTTACCTTACACATTACGTAAATCTAAATTAACTCGTCGAGTACCGGTTTTATAGACACAATTAAAGAACAATAGGTCGCGGTCACCGGTGACCGCTTGGTGTTTGACAGTTTAATAAATTATTAAATGTTTTTATGTAATAGGACTCTCGCTGGTTCTAATTTGTAAGCATTGGTATAGTAGCGGCAGCGTTTACGACCCTCTCGTCGCGTTATGTAACTACAACTACTGTCTTACGGCTGTATTGCTGCGGCTGGTTGGCCAGCAACTCAGCAGGTTATTCTTGCCGAGACTGGATACTTTTTGTTGGTCTGCAATATGAGTGTGTGCTATATAGGAGTGGGTGACGGATACTAACAACCTCACGGCTGGCACTGGCCTCCACGGCACAGCGCTGTCTGAGGAACAGCAGGATCATGGAGAGGATGGCAGCCACCGCATGCACCAGCCGCGGCGCCATCGTCCGCAGCACTCACCACTCGCCTACTCCGCAACCAGTGTTAGTGTGTGCTCACTCGATGTTCTCACATTACTGTGAGGCTGAATATATTTACAAACTGTTTTATTATAATTTTCTGCGGTGAATGCGGTTTGTTTTATTTGACGTCCGTAATTTATGATTTAATATGTCCGCACATTATGGTTTTTCAAAACAATAAAGAGGTTTTAATAAAATTGTATTCGAAGCAGGGCTTGGTTGGGGCAGGCAGGGTTAATTCAATCTATTCCTGGGGTACTGGGCTATATAAAATTCTTAATATTAAATTGCGTGTTATTTTATAAACTTTTGTTCTACATAATATTTAGAAATATGTTTCAAACAAGTAATAAAACCTGTAAACAAAATACATGTACAGCCTACATTCAGCAAAGATTGGTAGAACCAATTGAAATAATACTTAAACGGATCTGCAATATTTTCTTGTTTATTAATAAACTTCATCAAAATACAAAGAGATAAAAATAGAACAAAGATGGCAAACGAAGAAGAGAGAAATCCCGTAGCATGTGCTACGAAGTGCTACGAGCGCTACGAATACAGCGCTGTTCTGTGTAGCTGCTCGGAGCATACCTATATCTACACTACGCTTTGTGTACGTCGGAGTAATTGCGTAGTAGTAGCTTGTTTATGTGTTTTCTGATGTATAATATCTTTGTTTTTCTCATAAACAATAAAAGCACATATTTTTATCATAACAGTGAATCAATATTTTGCTCATCATAATATGGGCTATAATTCACACAAATTATTTTTAATGCATTTAGATTGAAAGCTGACATGTATATATATTGTTGTAATTGTTGCCACAAATGGCCTGCCACTGTTGGTAAGGTTCCGTAGAGGTGAGACGAGCCGTTGACCGCGACCCTCCCCCGATATGTGATAGCCACATTTAATTAATGAGCAAGTAGGTGACGCAATGTCTCCCCACACCCAACTATTTGTCACTTGCTATACAATACTGAAGTAGAGACACCTATATACTTATTACTTCATCCAGGAACCTTCACTGTCAAGAACTACACCTCGGCGACATGCTCCGAATTCAGAATGAAAACATCGAGATTTTTATTTATAAATCCTCAACTGTGAGATTTCTGTCTTGAATATATATGTATTAATATGCACCTAATCGAGTGTTGTGTGATGGTAAGTTAAATAATGCTTATTTCATTCCTGTGAGTGTGTGAGTATGATCGGGTCATGATGCGGCAGACTATGATGGTAAACTCATGAAACTCGAATCAGGTTAATTTTTTTCTTAAAGAAAACGTTGTCCCACATTAGGACTTTCTCCTGTGTCGTGGGTGCGTTTACAAACATACAAGTTCACATACACAATGACACCCAGACCCGAAACAACAATTTGTGGATCACACAAAGTGTTGCTTCGTGCGGGAATCGAACCCGCGACACAGTCGGTTGCCCAGCCACCGCACCTTCCGTGCAGTCAAATATTACAATTTAGGCAGTTTGGTACTTATGAGCTACTTTTAAATTCGAGGACAATTTTACTAATCACGTACATTGTATAACTTCAAATTAATTTAATTGTTGCCTTGTTGGCCGAGTGGTGGCAAGTGCGACTGCCGTGCAAGGGGTTCCGTGTTTGATTTTCGGGTTTGGAAAAGTAGGTACTACTAGGTTTTATAAAAAATTCTCAGTAGTAGCTCGGAGTCTGGAATCGTGGCCGGTATGTGGCAATAGGCTCACTCACCCCGTGTTACATGGGACTCATAACGTGGGCGTTACATTGTACAGTGGCATTAGGTGCCGTAATGTGCACCTCTGCCTACCCTTCGGGGATAAAAGGCGTGATGTAATATATTTTTTTTAATATGGGTATTGAGTAGAATCTTGGTCACACAATGTTCTCTTTTCAATAAGTTAGCACCAGTAGGGGCAGTGATGTGTTTACGTTAGATATAAGTCCTTTTCATTAATTTGGTGGTTTAAAAATGTTTACTTATTTATTATATAGACACCTATGTGTACACACTCTCACGGCCTGACTGTAGCAGCGCTCCATCATACATTACTGTTTCTAAGCTTACAATGAGGCCTTAGTACAAGTTTGTACACAACAGTACGATTTCAGCGCTCTGATTGGCCGGCTCTAATGAACCAACCAATCACAGCGTCGAACGTGGTTTCATTTCGATTACTTTTTTAAATAAAACAAACTCACACTAAGGCCTTAGTTTATGGAGCTTACAACACTGTATGATTGTACTGACTAGACACCGGCTGTGTCGGGACTCGGGAGCTTGTACACAGCATTGCCAGTATCCTTACTAAGATAGAGTAATTTATGGAACGGACAAAAATCTGCATAAGTAATGTTACATTTAATGAAGTAGGTAATGATTATGTATTGTAACCGCAAGGCACGCGATCCACTGCGGTTACAGGGCCACTGTAACTGCCATGTATAGCCACATTCTGTGACTCACGGCCCACAAGTCAGGGAAAATTAATGTTTAATAAGTCGATGCTCTTAAAACTGAATAATAATACTGACGTCATTGGAAATACTTTCAAATAGCTCATTAT